ACAAACATCAGGCCATCTAGGCTGGAGGAGAAGAGAAATTATTTTCTTCCTGGCGATATCTCCTAAAGGTCCCTGCCTCTCCAGCACACGTTTTAAGATTAATCAATAAATCTCCTTCATGTCTACTCCAGGTACTTTTCTTTTCTTTTTAATTTTTTAAAATGTTTTATTTCTGAGAGAGAGAGAAAGAGAGAGAGAGAGAGAGAGCGTGAGCAGGGGAGGGTCAGGGAGAGAGAGAGATACAGAATCCGAAACAGGCTCCAGGCTCTGAGTTGGCTGTCAGCATAGAGCCTGACGTGGGGCTTGAACCCACTAACCATGAGATCATGACCTGAGCCACAGTTGGACGCTTAACTGACTGAGCCACCCAGGTGCACCCCCCCCCCCCAGGTACTTTTCACACTGCTTTATTTGTGTTGTGTCTGGAGCTGAGTTATTTATTATGCTGGCTTTTTAATGGCAGGGACTCAGTTTCCTTTCACCCTCCAATTCTCCCAGAGTTAAACACACTGACTTTTAAAGTTCCTGGAGTTAAGCCCCAGTGATTCTCAAAGCTCCTGAAGTTAAGCTCTGCTAGTTTTCAAAGCCATATGTTCAAGGAACTCATCTTTTCAATGCAGGTACCCAGTGCCAGGGGTGCCTGGTATGGAATCTGACCCTCTCACTTCTCTATGTCTGTGATGTCCTTCCCATTTGTAGTTAGTCTCACTGGGTAAGTTTGGTTCCCAATTACCTCTCTACCTTTTCTACCCTTTTCAACATGGCTTTCTTTCTAAGATTAAGTGGAAAGTCTGTTTTGCCAGATGTAGCTGTTATCTCTGTGTGCCCATGGGACGAGCTGAACTCAGTATCCTCCCCTGCCATCTTCCTGCCTCCCCTCAACAATGCGTGTTTTATTTTTTTTAATTTTTTATAGTTTATTTATTTTTGAGACAGAAAGAGAGACAGAGCATGAGTGGAGGAGGGGCAGAGAGAGAGAGGGAGACACAGAATCCAAAATAGGCTCCAGGCTCTGAGCTGTCAGCACAGAGTCTGATGCGGGCTCAAACCCATGAACCATGAGATCATGACCTGAGCCGAAGTCGGACACTTAACCGACTGAGCCACCCAGGCGCCCCAACAATGTGTGTTTTAATTAGCCCTACAGATAAATCTGACCCTTGCTAGGGGTTGAAAACCACTTCTCTAGAGATTTCTCAGATAATATTTTTTAATGTTTATTCATTTATTTTGAGAGCGACAGAGCATGCGTGGGGTAGGAATGTGAGAGAGAGAGAGAGAGAGAGAGAGAGAGAGAGAGAGAGAGAATCCCAAGCAGGCTCCACATTGCCAGTGCAGAGTCAGACACAAGGCTCAAACTCACAAAATCGTGAGTTCATGACCTGAGGTGAAACCAAGAGTTGAACACTTAACCTAGTGAGCCACTCAGGTGCTCCCAGATAATATTTTTAAATGTTTATTTGTTTATTTTGAGGGAGAGAGAGTGTGTGCAAGCATGGGGAGGGACAGAGAGAGAGGGAGAGAGAGAATCCCAAGAAGATTCCCCACTATCAGTGCAGAGCCCAACACAGGGCTCTCATGGTTTGCGAGAACTGTGAGATCATGACCTGAGCTGATATCAAGAGTCAGACGCCTAACCAACACAGCCACCCAGACATCCCTCAGATAATATCTAAACTTATATTTCTTACAAACATCTAGTCAATCAATAATTATAGTCTTAGCATACACATCAGCTAATTTCCCATGTGGGTATAATATGGGATTTTAGTTTGAGATGCTACTAAATCTTTTTTGCAAAAATAATCATGAATGCATGAATAAAATATTGTTATAGTTTTTTTTAAGTTTATTTATTTATTATGAGACAGAGAGAGAGAGAGAGAATGCAAGCAAAGGGAGTCTCAGAGAAAGAAGGAGGGAATTCCAAGCAGGCTCTGCCCTATCAGCCACAGACCCCAAGGCATGGCTCAAACCCACAAACCCCAAGATCATGATATGAGCCAAAATCAAGAGTCAGATTCTTTTTTTTTTTTTTTTTTTTTTTTTTTNAGCCCCTGACACACTCATCAACAAATCTCTGTTCACTTCTTTTAAATTGATTCAAATATGCGTTTTTATTTTATTTTATTTTTTTAATTTTTTTTTTAATAGTTTATTGTCAAATTAGTTTCTACATAACACTCAGTGCTCATCCCCAAAGTGCCCTCCTTCATGCCCATCCCCCCCTCCCCCCCACATCCATCAGTCCTCAGTTTTTGTCAGCATTCAAGAGTCTCTCATGGTTTGAAGAGTCAGATTCTTAACCAACTGAGCCACCCAGGTGCCCATGAGTAAAATTTTTTTTATTCATTTTTAAATTGAAGTTTAAATTATATATAATAAAAAAGGAACAGATATCAGTTGCAGAGTTTTAGTTTTAACAGTTGTTATACAGCCACCATGTGACCTATAGACATTTCCAACTTACCTCCCCAAGAAATTTCCCTTGTGTCCTTTCCTATCCCCACCTTCTCCTCCTGCGCTTGCCAAATCATTGATTTCTTTTATATCACTGTAGATTAGATCCTTTTCCTGGAGTTTCTTATGAATGAAACAATGCAGTATATGACCTTTTGTGTCAAGTTTCTTTCCCTGAGCATAATACCTCTGAGATTCATTCACATTATTATGTGTATCAGGAGATTGTTCTTTTTACTGTTGAGTAGTATTCTATTGTGTGAATACACCACAATTTGTTTATCCATTAATTTGTCAATGAATGTTTGGGTCGTTTCCAGTTTGGGGCTATAATGTCTGAAATAATTTTAGTTTTTAAAACCCTTCTATTTTAATGAAGTTGACTGCATTCAGAATTCTTAATCAAAAGTATTTCCCCTTATTGCAAGATATTATTCTATTGTTGTCTTCCATCAAAGTTGTTGAGAAGTCTGGTATCAATCTGATTATTGTTTATTTATAGGTAATCTATATGATTCTTTTATTTTCTCTGGAAGATTTTAGAATTTCATTTTTATTTTGTTCCTCTAAATTTCTACCAGTGTGTTATGTGTTACATACATTCTGGTAACTTCCTTGGCTCTATCATCCAGTTTACTAATTCTCTCTCCAGCTGTGTTTAATCAGCTCTTTAATCCACCTATTATCTTTCAAATTTTAATGACTATATTTTTTAATTTCTATAACTACTCTCTGGTTATTTTTCAATATATTTTTAAATGTCATTTTATCCATTTTCATGTTTTTAAGTGTTTTTAAGTTTTTTTCTCATTATAAACATACTTACTTTATAGCTTGTAACTGACCATTTGTATTATCTGAATTGTTAGAAGTTTAATTTGACTGCATATTTCTGCTGATGTGTGCTTTCTTGGTGGGTATTCATATGTGTTTTACAATTTTGGATGAGCTCACATTTGGCTGTCTTTATAACAGGGAATTCTGGTTGGCTTGATTTGAAGATGTGTCCTTCCAGACAGTTTTTACATTAAATTCTTTCTGGCAGCCTGTAAGCTTTGCAAGGTCCAGGACTCCATTCATTTAATACATTAGCTAGCAGGAAGCATAAGCTCAAACCCCAAACCAGAGGCAAAGTAGGGTAGAATTTCTTTTTAACTCACATAGATCTCAGGCCAAATAGACAAACTTTCTTATTGTCTCTGGGAAGATTTTTGGCTATTTCACATTCTCAATGACAGAGTAGTCTGTTCAGTGTTTTGGTTTCATCCAAACATCTTAGTTTCAACTTCCCACCTGACACAGGGTAAATGCCTCCACCCACCCATTGGAATTCAAATCTCTGGCTTATTGCAATTAGCAACCTCATTTTTGTTCCTAACTCTCTCCCATATCAGATCAGCTTTTTTATTATTTTCTTGCAAAGGAGGCCTATAGGAGACTCAGTTGGGGGTAGGAGTGGCCATTTAGAGGTCCTTGAATCTGAACCTAAAGGGGAATACCTACCGTTCCAGCCCAGAAGGCTAAGTGCTCAGCTTATAGCAGTTTCTGGCCGAACATCAAATAATGAAGCCTGATGCTACTTACCTGTCTGCTTCTTCTGCCTTCACTCATTTTCTATTTGTCCTTTACTCCTCCTTTTATCCTATATTGGTTTTTTGATAGCAGCTGAGCCATTCTTAACCAACTGAGCCACCCAGGTGCCCCTTTCAGCTGATCCATTCTTTTACTGTGTGTCTTCCTGACTCTAGTGTATTTACTAAAAAAATAAATGTGCTGTTTTACATCCACCAAACCACACACAAATGGAATCATTTGCTTAGATTTCATAGCATATAAATACATATATTAGAGATCCAAAGTGCCAAAATCAAAATTGGCCTCACTTTTGAGGATTCATGGTTATCCATCTCAGCTCACAACTCTATTTTTCAAAGTATAGCAGCCCCTGTTCAGGCCTCATCTCTCAGAACTATGCATCACAGCAGTAAACCAACCCATTTTCTCAACCCCTGGGACAGCCAATTTGGGAAATAGCCCAAACCAAGAGTTCTTGTCCAAACTTCAGCTATGTCCCCTATTTTGGTCAAGGTGATCTTCAGCTTGCTCCTGGTTCTTGAAACAGAGTCCCACTGCCCCTCTGCCTCCCATCTGGCCTCCCTCTTTGTCTGGCTTGCGTTTAGCAGATTGGGCACTGCCCAGTGTGGGGTGGGCACTAGATATTTGTTTTTCCTTAAACGTCAGACAAAGTGTTTAGCGTGGGGACAAGGGCCCTGTGGGATCCCAGCAAGCCAAATATGAGCTGCTTTTGGCCCCTGCATATGGTACAGATCATTGGGACACCCGTGTGGCCACAATGGACTTTGAGCATGGATTGCTCATAGTCCTGCTGAACTTTGCAAAGGAAAGGAAAGTTTTTTTAGGTTGTGCTTATGATCTTTGAACCAGTTATCTCAAAGCCATAAACCTAGTCAGTAGGCTATAAAAGTAGCTTATTTCAACATGTTCTCCCTGAAGCCTGCTCCTTGACTTTCAACATTCATCCACATTGAACCAGAGGCTATCACCATGACAAGGGACCAGAATGGCACCTGGGAGATGGAGAGTAATGAGAACTTTGAAGGCTACATGAAAGCCCTAGGTAAGGGAGACGGAAAGGATGGAAGAGGGAGGGGATCTTTGGGAGAACTATAATCCAGCCCTCCAGACAGTACCATTATGGAGTTCAACAGATCTGTATGTAAGCCTTGCTCCTTATTTGCTAGCTATGTAATAATAGGTACATCATAGAAATTCTGAAACTCAGATTCCTCATCTGTAAATTGGGAATAATAGTAAATGAGATTATGTCTGGAATGTCCTTAGCATAATACATGGCACACAGAAAAGGTACATGAATGTGGGGTTCACATATGCACATACATGCACACATGGAGTAAAACCAAACTTGACAAGATAATGCAGTAGCTCCCCCACTTTGGATCACCATCTCTTAGGTAGCCAGTTAGACCTGACATTATCCATGAATGACCCTTGCATTGCTCTTGTGCCAGGCTTATAGTGGGGAAGCAGACAAGGAGTGGCTAAATTTGTTATTCTAGAGAATGTGAGACCCATAGAAGGCTAGCGGTGGCTTTTGGCATACAAATCAAACAACTTGCTGATTGTCTGGCTTTGGAACTGGACTTCAGGCCAAGAGCCTGATCTTTGTGAGTCCTGAGTTGACTCTCTTGTGGAATCTCTCATGGGCTGACAGAAATAATTTGAAATGTGAAGGAGGAACTCACTGTGTGGAGCAGCTGCCATGGGCCAGGCCCTGGGCAGGAAGCTTTGGCTGCCTGTGCTTCTTTCAGGCAACAGCCTGCAACAGCTTCCTCATCACCTTTTCCAGCTTTAGAACTCTCCACATAAGGAGCTCCTGGTTGGAATTTCCCCACTGCTGGGGCTGCACGTGGGGTCAGATGTCCAATAATTTGGGTATGATGATGGGAAGTCTCACCAAGAATGGGAATTGTGGAATTTTCTGTGCAATTAACTTCTAGTTTAATAAACATTTCTTTTTTTTTTTAATTTTGTTATATATTTTTTTAACATTTATTTATTTTTGAGAGGGAGAGAGAGAGCAGAGCAAGGGACAAAGAGAGGGGGAGACACAGAATCTGAAGCAGCTCCAGGCTCTGAGCTGTCAGCATAGACCCCAATGTGGGGCTCAAACCCACAAGCCATGAGATCATGACCTGAGCTGAAGTTGGACGCTTAACTGACTGAGCCACCCTGGTGCCCACCCCATTGATGAACATTTCTACTCTGTCGGTGAAGACGGAGAGCTGACATATTGTGTGATGTATAGAGACTGGAGTTTTCTCCATGTATTTTAGACATGTTTCCAATACAGAATAGCTGTCTTTTCCCTCCTGGCTCTCAGAATTTTACATCAAATACATGGGGGGTTGGGGGAGAGGAAGCACAAATCCACCTTCCAGAGCCCCAAACTCGTTGCACTAAGGTTAGTGCCCTGAATGAACAATAGAAATGGAAGACTTAGGGGCACTTCAGTGGCTCAGTTGTTTAAGCATCCAACTCTTGGTTTTGGTTCAGATCATGATCTCATTTTTCATGAGTTTGAGCTCACATCAGGCTCTGCTGACAGTGCAGAACTTGTTTGGGATTTTCTCTCTCCCTTTCTCTTTCTGCCCCTCCCCAGCTCACTCACTCTTTCAAAATAAATTAATAAACCTAAAAATTAAAAGAAATAAAAAATGGAAGACTAATTCTACATATGGACAGATGATCTGGAGCTTAACTCGGAGGTATAATTCTGAAGAAGATCATGCAGGTGAGGAAACCAAAACAGAGGGGCCAGCCCACATAAGGCTTGTTCTCTAACCCTGACCAATTTTTTAACCTTGCAGAACCAGCTTCCTCATCTGCCAAATAGGAATAATAGTACTAGCCATTGGCTGTTTGGCAGTTTCAAGCTCTCAGCCTGTACTGAACAAGCCAGACTCAGGGAATATAATCAGAAAGCAATTTTGTGTCCTTTGCTGCATTTTCTTAAATAATAAGAGTCCTGTGTGACTTCAGGTATAAAACTAGGCCTCAGTTCAGTTTTCAGTTGTGCAGACTGGTCCCTGATGCCCCCTCGCCAGGCTTCAGGTAAGAGGCAAGCCCTCCTATTGCCATCCCCTGGAAACAGCTGAGTGGGACTGCCTCCACAATTTAATCTGCTAAAAGCAACCCAGCAGATCTGTACAATTTCCTCCACACCCACCCTGTAGGACAGGGGTTGCTTTCCCAACATTTACAAGTCAGGAAGCTTGCCTTCTTTGCCCTTTAGAGCATTCAACCCTTGGCATTTGGGAAGAGCATCTGTAGAGATCCCTGCAAATCCCCAGATATGGAAATATCACTAAGTATAACTCCATTTCCTGCTAAAGAACCGTCACTTTCTTACACTTTAATCCCTCACACCAAGGAGGTGGCTTTCTCTGGGGGACTGGTGGCTGGCTCAGAAGGGAAAGAGACTCCTGTTGAGACGTGGGTCTGGGTGACAACCTGGTTTTGTCACTAGCCAGTGACTCACTCTACACATCAGCCTTCCCACATGACTCAGCTGCCAGCTTCAGGAGTGTCACATGTCACAGTAACCTTTAGTTTTAGCCCAAATTATCACAGTTACTAAATGTTCAGAGAGTGAGTGCCAAGGGTCAGTGGTACCTCCTCTCCTGCCTTCTTAGACACCTGGTGTGTCTTGAGGCCCTAGACTTTCTTGATAGCAAGGAAAGTAGCTAGTAAACCCTTTCACCCTGAGGAGTCTGTAGTTTTCTGAGGTTCTCCTGCTGCATGGATCAGAGTATCAGGGAATGGGGGGAGTGGTTTTTAATTTAAAGGGGAGCCTGAGGAGGGCATGTCTAAAACTGAAGTTCCAGCATTGTGCAAATGCTGGTGGGGAGTCTGTTCACTACCAAGGAGTGAGGCCAGTACTGTACAGACATGGGGAATCATTTGGCTTTTCTACCACAGTTCAGACATGCCCCATGGAAGCCAGAGACTATGCCATCTAAGACCAAACAGAGTCTCTGCTTTCAAGGAACTCAAACTGTATAGTCAGTCGAGTTATAGCTTTGCACAAATGGTGTTCCTGTTTTCTGCTGCAGTGTGACTAATCACCCCCAAAACATAGTGGCTTAAAACAACTACAGTCATTTTATTAATGTCTCTTGTGGTTCTGGGGGCTGACCAGGTTCACCTGCTAGGCCCCTGCTAGGCTCTTGCTAGGAGGCTCTCATTCAGTTGCAGGTGGACAGTAACTGAAGCTGGAACTATTTCAAAGGCTTCCCCACTTCTGTGTCTGGCAGTAGGTACTGGCAGGCAGCTGAGGCCTCAGCTGGGCTGTCAATATCTACATGTGGTGTCCCCATGTGGCCTGGGTCTCCTTACAGCATGCTTGGTGTATCCAAAGAGAGAGGAAGTGAAAGATGAATGGCCTCTTATGATCCAGGCTCATAAATCATAAAGCATTACTTCCATTGTATTCTACTGGTTGAAATAGTCATGAGCCTACCTATCTTCAAGGTAAGAGTATATAGACCCATCTCTCAGTGGGAGGAATGTCAAAGCCATATGGTAAGAATAGCATGAAGGTTGAGAGGTATTGTTGCAGCCATTTAAAAAAAATGCAATCTATCCCCCATGGGACAGTGAGTGATTCCATTCCTTGGGCCCATAGCAAGATATGTGTGTGGGTGGTGAGTAGAGCTACTATACACATGTCATTGAAGGCTTCCTAAATCCTGGGTGGGGTTTTGAAGGAAGGAGAGAATTGCTTCACACAGAAACGTAGTCAGTCATTGCTCTTCGGGCATGTGTAAAGGCCAAGCCAGTAAGAATGTGGTGTGGGCAGAGAAAAAGTTGTATTGTGAGAGGGTGAAGTGCAAGGAGGTGATGAAAAAAAGTCAGAAAGGTGACAGGTCAGATCTCAAATGGAGTGTGCTGCCACATGTGGACTTCATTCTACAAGAAGAGGAATTGTCTACAGAGGAGAGAGAAACCACCCATGCTCACTGTGACAGCCAGGGGTGAATAGATCTGCAGAACTGTCAAAGAACTGAAGAGGTTATTGCAATGGCCCTGGGAAGATGGTAAGAGCAGTGCCAAGAAGGTAGACAAGGGGATGTCCAAGGTGGGAAATAGACTAAATTTGGTGACTGGGTGGTGACAGGGCAGGAGGGAGCCTGGAAAATGAAACACCTTCATGTACTCAGTGAACCATCATGTAAATCAGTGAAGATGTGGACATGTAATGGAAGGCTTGTATCCTAAAACTGCTCAGTTAATGTTCAATTTAGACATCTAGGAAATATTTAGTCCACCAATTGTAAATGTTGGGAAAATCAGTTCTCCTCTTTATTTGGAAAGGAAGGAGGGGTCCATCTCCTATGAAGACCATCTTTTAATTTAAATTAATATGCACATATTTAAAAGAGTAGAGGCCACTGCAAAAAGCCCTAGTGGGTCTCTGGAAAATTCAACCAGAAAGGAGGTAAGCCTAGAGACTGAAGTCAGGCAGCTCCTACCTGAGTGGTCTCTGCCAGGAAAGGTTTCCTGAATACCCACAATGTTCAAAATCCTGTCCTAACTGTTTAAGAGCCACAGTCTACCATTAGAGGTGAGCACATGCCATGATAAGCATCATTCTAGAACCTATATATATTATTTCATGTAATTTATTCAGATTCAACAAATGCATTGAGCACCCATGACATGGCAAGAAATGCACTACGTACCAGTAACATGGTGGTAAGTAAGGTGACAAATCCCTCTCACTCAAGGAGTGTATGCACTGGTGGCAGTGAGATAAAATCAATAAGATAGTGGTATGTGCTTTAAAGAAAACTAAAAATGACTTATTGGGTGAAGAGTGATGGGTGCTCAGGGAAGGCTGTCTGAGTTGCTGACAGGTGAGCCAAGGTTTGAATGTTGAGAAGCAGTGTCCCAGGTACAGGAGACAGCAAGTGCAGAGGTTCTGGGTGTGTTCAAGAAACACAAAGGTTGATGTGTTGGGAAGTGGCAAACAAGGGAAAGTTTGGCCCTTGTGATGGAGGAGAATCTATTTTATTTGTATTCTTTAAGATCACTGTG